TATATATGTTGCGGCACGCAACCCAATCCCACCATATGTCAATATCAATATCATAACTCACCCTTATTTTGCCGTATCAATCCACCCTTATTTCACCTGCTGCAGCGCGCAATCCGATCCCACCGTATAGAACCTATTCACCCTTATTCCACCATATCAATCAACCCTTATTACACCTGCTGCGGCTTGCAGCCCGATCCCACCATATCAGTACCAAATACTCAAAGCACAATCAAATCAATAGCTCAACCACAAAGCCTTTACGGTCAATAAATAACAAACTGAACCAAAAGGGAACTTATATAGTAAAGAAATCTACACGAGTAATACTACACGGCGAGACCAATTCAGCAATTGACGATTAGAAGGTGCAAGTGAGTCTATTTAAACAAATAGCAGGGAGTCATGAATCTATGGAAGAACTAATAATGTGAACAGGAGAAGATATTGAATAGCAAGTAGCAATTAAGAATGGAAAGCACATAGAGCATATAACCGTTAAGGCAGGAAAGAAAATAATTAAGGAAAAAGCAGTAAATCTGGGAAAACAGATTATTCGGCGACGTATAAGCACTCGTCACCTCGCATATATGTCGCTCACATGACAATCATATAGCACATAGTCCGAGGGTTCCTAATTCCCTAGTCAAGGTTAAGCACAACACTTACCTCGCTCCAAAGACCACTCAAAGCTCAACCATAGCTTTGCCTTTCAAACAAGCATCTAAACCAACAATATCTAGCAAATTACCAACCAAACGATTCAAAATAAGCCTTAGGAATCACCCACGATTGCAAAGATTAAATTTAGGTCATTATTGAAAAAGTCAACACCCGGGCCCGCTTGGTCTAAACCCGAAAATTGGATCAAAACCCGATTACCCATTCACCCCCGAGCTCGGTTATATAATTGGTTTTGGAATACGACCTCAATTTGAGGTCTAAATCCCCAATTTACCAAATCCTTAATTCCTACCCAAAAACCCCCCAACTCTATGAGAACTCTAGATATTAGGTTGAAAACTTGTGAAATGTAGTGAAAGATTGAAAGGAGATAGGTTAGAATCACTTACCAACGATTTGGGGAAGAAGGAGTCTTGGGAAATTCGACTCTAAGGTTTTAGGTTTTGAAAATTTGAAGAATGAACCAAAAATCCCGTCTAAGTGATATTTTGTTCAGCTGTAGATGTTGCATTTGCGACCTGGGCTTTGCAAATGCGAAGCCCGTAAATGCGAGAAATCCATCGCATTTGCGAAGACTCCCACACCTCTGCAGTCATCACATTTGCGATAAGAAGTTCGCAAATGCAAACACTGACCAATCCGCAATTGCAACTATTTGATCGCAATTGCGACCACTACCTGACCCAGCTCAAATGCGAAGACTTGGCCGCAAATGCTATTAATGGTTCCCCGCAAATGCGACCTCTAGATTGCAAATACAAATTAAGGCTGGCCCAGGTACTCTTCGCAAATGCGAAAAATTTGCTCACAATTGCGAGCCTACCAGCTTGGGGAATGTTCGCAAATATGAACACTACTCTCGCAAATGCGAGATCAGACACCAGTTGCAGAACCAGCAATGCTCTAAGTCCAATTTTCAGTCCGTAGCCTATCTGAAACTCACCCAAGCCCTCGGGGCTCCAAACCAAACTTGCACACATGTTTTAAAACACCATACATACCTGTTCACACGATCAAATCACCAAATTAACACTTAGAACTACGAATTGAACACCAAATCAAATGAAATTTTTAAGAAAACTTTAAAACTTCTAATTTCACAACCGAGCGTCCGAATCACGTCAAACTAACTCCATTTCTAACCAAATTTCACAGACAAGTCATAAATATAATAGTGGACCTATACCGAGCTCCGAAACCAAAATACAAACCCGGTATTGCAACACCCCGTACATTCGTACTAGGTGTGGATATGTTAAATGGGTATTAATATGATATTTTAGACATATGAAGTCCTAGCGGGATGAGTATGGGTGAAAATAGTTATTTTAGAATCAAGACGAAGAGTGAGGTGTACAAGATTCAATAAATCTACTAAGTTTACAAAAGGTGAGTCTTGCAGCAGGATTTAGTGAAAATGTGTAAGGTATTTGGGAAAACTCAAAACACGAAAGTTGTAGGACTTTGAAATATCTTTCCAACAATATATTGTGGAGGCCAAACGAGTCTCTGTGCAAAAAGTTATATGCGTTTTAAAGAACAGTGCGCAATATGCGCGGCCCGTGCGCGGCCGCGCACTTGTGGCAGTGTTACTGCCATTTTGCGCGGTCAGGTGCGCGGGGGGCGCACTTGGGGATCATTTTAAAGTCCTACTTCGTCCCCCACACTCCCAAAACACAAAAAATTACTCCAGAAAGGGGAGCCCTCAAAAACCTAACTCTTTAAGGGTCCCTCCTCCATCCAAGGTAAGTTCTAATGGTGATTCTAAGTTTGTTTCAATTTCCCAACATCTTATTAACATGGGTAAACCCTCCATATC